AACATGAACTGTGCAGTGGTAACTCCAGAGACAGAGGCGAGGGGCTGCCCTGGCTGGGCAGGGCAGGCCTGAGGGCCGACTCATGCATGGGCTGCTTTGGGGGCGATAAAACGCTTTGAAACTAGACAGAGGTGATGACGGCCTAGCACGGAGAGGGAAGGCAGGATGGCGAAGCTGGACTGCTCACTTTAACATGGTGGATCGTATGATATGTGAATTTTACTCTGAGTTTTAAAATAAAAAATGGGGTGTCATGGCAACCGTGGAGACTGAGGTGGGAGCATCACAAGTTCAAGGCCAGCTGCAGCAACTAAGCGAGATCCTGTCTCAAAGAATAAAACAGGGCTGTGGATGTGGCTCCGTGACAGAGCCCTCCTGGGTCCAATCTCTAGTACCCCCCACCAAAACTGGAAAAGCACCAGTTCCCTATATTCTTATTTTTAAAAATTGTTATGGTGTTCTAGTTTATTCATCTTTCCACTTAAATTTAGGACCTACTTGTCTATATCTTTCAAACACTGAGATTTTCAGTGTTCCTGTTAAATCCAGAGGTGAACTTGGTGAGGACTGCCCTGCTCGTCCGAGCCTGCCCCACCGTCTGCAGCCCACAGACACTGTCTGCCTAAGCACTCACCATCTCCTTCAATTTCTTATGTCATTTGAAATTCTTCTGCCTTGAACCAGAAGTGGTTTACAGACATGCAATTGCTTCTGGATTGCCGGGGGACCCTTGGGTCTTGCTGACCTTGCGTTCATCCAGGTGGCTCTTCCCAGGCTCCGTGGTTTCTCTGTCGTCGTGAAAGGGCCTGTCAGCTCTCCATTTCCAGCTCTGTGCCTTGTGTTTTCCTTGCATTACTTTGTTGTTGATGACAGAAGTGAGCATGGACCCCCATCCTCCCGCTGCTGGCTGGAATGTTCCTCCTGCGCCTGGAGAGTGTTTGTCGTGATGGATGTTGGATTTTATCCAATGCTAACTCTCCACTACTTGGTAGAAGAGGGTTTGCAATTGCTTATTAATTGTTATTTATAATAGCTGCTGTTACAGTCTCTGAGAGATGAGCCTGACGCCTGAGTTATCTAGTGTTAGCGTCCATTGGCTGCCACTTCCTGTGTGAATGGAGGTCTCCCTAGTTCTTGTATGCTGAGTAATTTTGGATTCTATCCTGGAGTTTAGTAAATGTGATGAATAAGCCCTCTCTGGCTTTCTAAATCAGAGTACTGAAATCATTGTTCCTCCAAGTTTACCATGCACTCTGGTCGTCACCCATCTTCTATTACATGATTCACTCTTGATCAAGCATGTTCATCAAAAGCCTGGCTGATTCTCTCTTAGCCACTGGGCCCCAGATGATGGAGATGCAGTCTCTGCCCCGCAGATCTTGCTTCACCAGCAAGTGAACACACTAGGCTATTTCCAGTAGTGACCGTATACAAGCCATTATAATATCTAACTTTAACTGAGCACCTACTGTGTGCCAGGTACTTATCTGAGCATTTGTGGGGTGTGTCCTCACCTGAAAATAGCCTTGTGACTCTGTAGTCCCCACTTTACAGACAAGGAACTGAAGGGCACAGAGGCTGCTGCCCAGGACCTCATGTGGCCACACAAGTGCCTCCTGCATTATGCACTCATGAAGTGCTTTGCTACTCAGGCATCTCACCTTCTCCTGAAAACAGGAGGCACCAGCGCCTGCCAGAGAGTCACCAAGGGCACAGCCTCCCAACACCAGGACAAAGAGCAGAGACCCAGCTACTGAGATCATAGCAGCAAACACACTTTCAGGCTCTGAGGGCTCCTGCCCTGGCTGCAGGCTTTGCAAACCTCCTGCCTCACTCCCCACATATCTGGGATGAAATGCAGGTGGCAGCAACAGTTCCTGGTTACTAAGGAATGCCCTGTGTAGGCTGGTGCCTCCCTGGCCCTGTCTGAGAGGCCTGAGGCTCCCAAGTCACAGGCAGCACTGTGTTGGACCAGCTATGCCACTTTTTCCCCAGGAGAGACATCTCCACTGATGCCACCCACTAATGACTGCATCCAGACAGCAACCTGGGCCAGTCAGCCTCCAGCAGCATGTGCTTGACAGTCTCTGTCCCATGTAGTTCTGTCCCCATTTCCTCGTAGTGGAGGCTCAGGCACATGTCCATTCCTTGCTCCTGCGTCTGACCCAGCACCAGCCCACCCGGTGCCAGCCCTGCAGACCTTGAATACCCGACAACACCCCACATGCCCAGCAGTGGAGACACACTGACCTTTCCGAAGCTCAACCTTCCCACCTGTGTGGGTCCCCTCTGACCATGAAAACAGTCACCGAAGAAGCTAAGCTCAGAGCGCCAGCTGCTGGCAAAGTCACACTGCCCAACAGGCAGAACAGGTCCAGCCTGGGGCCTGTGGGCACCTAGGCTCTCCCAGTGTGAGCCCCTCCCTGGGACAGGCTGGCAGCCCCTTAGCAGAATAGTGAGCTGGAACAGCCTCCTCTGGGCTCCTCGGAAGCGATGAGAAAGGGGTGAGCGCCACCCTGCCCTCCTGCCATGTAGTCTCTGTGGAGGCTGGGGTGGGCTGGACGGGGACAGAGGACCCAGGACCCTTCTCTACCCTCTCTACCCTAAGCACCAGGGTCACCATCCAGCATCTCTGGCTTGCTCTGGACAGGGTCTCAGAGGCTCCACCTTCTGGGTGGCATGTACTTCTCCATTTTGAAGAGTGTCCTGAACCCAGGTGAGTGCCTATAGTCCTAGCACCGGGGGCTCCTTGAGCAGGAGGGGGCAACCCAGTAAGGCAAACAGGGGGCAGGAGGGAGGAAAGCAGGGAGGGAAGAAGAAACCCTCCACTCAGTCTTCATTGCTGATGCTGGGCATGGTCAGCAGTGGCTCATGGTCTTCTCCTCCACTCAACAACTTCCCCATGAGTGGGCACATCTGGCCATCAGGTAAAAGCTATGGTCAGCAGCCCTTTGCACCCCAAACTTCATCTCAGTCTCTGGCCCGAATAGAATACTCCACAGGAAGAGACTTTGACAGGAGGTGGCCTCGGCACCTCTACAGAGTCCCAGACCTGGCCTGCTACAGGCCAACCCCAGGGGCACAGCTGGCCTTGACCCCCACCCAGAGGATGGGTTCAGGAGTTCTTCCCAGCGTCCACACCTGGCACACATCTGCACCCTGAGAGGGCCAGTGTCACATAGGCTGAAGTGGCTGAGGAAGGGTCTGGGCAGCCAGAATTGCAAGATCAATGTGAGCAGGACCCACTCTAGTCAAAGTTCACTAAATGGGCGAGCACAGCCCCTGCTCTTTGCACTCAGAACCTGGAGGGCAGTGGTGCTCCAGGTGGCAAGACCAGAAGGTGCAAGGCCCTGTGGCAGAAGGAACATTGGGCTGTGGGCATGGGATGGTTGGAGCCAGGTCCTTCTGTTGGGTACAGAGCTAGGGGCTGCAAAGGCTACACCCTCAGTGACTTCCCATGTGCGGTTCAGGCCTGGCCTAGCCTGCCCTGGGGTTCCCCATCTGCTCCTCAGTAGCACTGAGAATGTCCTTCCTCTGGCCTCCTGTGTGGGCTCGGGCCCTCACAGCTAGAGGATGTTGGAGAGAAGATGGACAAGGAAGAGTCTTCCAGCTCACCTTTGCTGGAGCCCCTACCTCTCATCACAGAAAAGAGCCCAGGGTTGCCAAGGGGCCACCTCTGAGGCTTGGGGGACACACCTGTCTCTAGCTTGGTATGGGGACATGCTGTTTCTCCTTCCATCTCCAGGAGCCTGCTATGCTGTTAAGGAGCAGGCTGGGCATACATAATATGGACATTAGCATTAGGCATTTGTGTTTGAGCACCTACTGTATGCCAACAAAATAAGGATTTCTCTGAGGGTTTGTGTTGTCAAGTCCCAGACAGGCCTCGCAAGACAGCCTCTCAAGGCGTCCTTGGACCCTGAAGCCACAGAAAATGCCCCATGCTCCAGGACCACTCTGCCAGACCACAGGAGTCCAGGAAGTCCAAGTTGGAGCTACAGGTCTGTCAGAGCCTGCACACAAGCAGCTGCAAAAAATCCTGCCCTCACAGTATCACCTAGAGGACCATCTGCCCTATCAATGGCACTCGGTAGCCCCACCCACCTCTCCCATCCTACTCCAGGCCCTGGCCTCCTGGCTTTCCTCACCACCAGCCAGCACCATGCCTCAGGGTGTCTGCCTGAGCTTCTCACTCTGCTGAAAAGGGTCAGCTACCCTCCCTCCTTCCTCAGACCTCAGCTCAACCTGACCCCTGCTCTGTCCACTGGGAGGCACACAGCAGGTCCAAACAAATTGGAGCAAGAAACAAAGAGAAAGGTACAGGGTCCCAGTCAGAGCCTACCTGTGTTCCCCAGGGACTCCGACTAGCTCTTGGTCCTCCCCAAGCATGAAGGCCTCAGGTACAGGAATGACCTCCCCTCCGTGCCCTCCACTTCCTACCCTGCTGCCCCACTGCCCCACTGCCCCACTGCCCTACTGCCACCGGGCCCCATGGGCGGCTGGATGCAGACGGGGTCTGGGGAACAGGTTGGGCAGCAGGCTCTAAAGCAGTGAGGGACACAGCAGGCTCCCCAGCTTCACACAGGGGGCCCCAGAAGGGTCGAGCTGGAGGACTTGAAGCACCTTTGGGCACCACGCAGTGGGCACAGCTGGGGAGAGAGATGCAGCATCAGGGACATGCATGGGCAAATGCCCTCTCTTTCCCTGGCGAGAGTGGGGGCAGAGACCAGTCCTAGTACTGGGGCAGGGCCTGTCCTTTAACCACTCCAGTCCCAGGCCAGGCCTGGACGCGCCCCCGACGGCCTCAGACAGACTGGAGTCCAGCTAAAGCAGGCGAGCCCGGGGCGGAGCCAAACAGGCTGGGTGGGGTCTCGGGGCGGAGCCTAACGGGGTGGGGCTGATCGGGGCCTCGCAGCGGGCGGGAAGGGGTTAACAGGACAGGGCGGGGCCTTGGGAGGCGGGGCCCAAACGAGTCCCCGCCCCGTAACGCTCCGCGCGTGCGCACCTCGCGCCCGGGACTGGACGGAGGAGCGGCGTCCTACGGCCTCTGTTACCGATGGGCTCCGCGGCCTAGCGCCCAGGCCCCGCCACCGGTGACCGGGCACCGGGGGCTGCGAGGGGTCGCCTCCGAGGTACGGGCGCGTGGCGGAGGGCGGGCGGGTGCTGGGCCAGAGCGAGCTGGGCGGCGCACAAAGCGCCTTTGTTCGGCCTCGCACCGGCCGGGACTGGCTGGAGCCGCCCGGAAGCACCGCTGGGCGCGGGTAGAGGACGGCCCTCCGAGCGAGCGCTCGTGGGAGCCGTGACCAGGGCCGCGCCCCATGCAGGTCTCCACCAGCCCATAGCGAAGCATGGCAGCCATCCCCTCCAGCGGCTCGCTCGTGGCCACCCACGACTACTACCGGCGTAAGTAGCCCCTTGCCGACCCCTGCCGACGGAGCCCAGCACTGCCCCGTGCTGCCGGCGAAGCCCCTGTTGCTGACTGTCTTCCCCTCTCCAGGCCGCCTGGGCTCCGCGTCCAGCAACAGCTCCTGCGGAAGTGCCGAGTACCCTGGGGAGGCCATCCCCCACCACCCGGGTGAGAGCAGGTCCAGCCTGCACAGCCAGGCGGAGCATGGGGAGGGGTCCAGTCCTGAGCAGGCTCATCACCCACTCTGCTTCTCTCAGGTCTCCCCAAGGCCGACCCAGGTCACTGGTGGGCCAGCTTCTTCTTCGGGAAGTCCACTCTTCCGTTCATGGCCACAGTGGTGGAGTCTCCAGAGCAGTGAGTCCCCCTTCCTGGGGTGGGAGGGCAGCAAAAACAAAGTCAGCTTCTGACACGATACCTGCTCTCCCCCAGCTCGGAATCCACCCAGGCCTCCACCAGCATGGTCACCAGCGGCCTGACTCCAGAAACCACGAAGCAGCAGCCAGTCAACCAGCCGAGCCAGGCCAGCACTCAGTCCTGACCTGATTGGGGCTTCCACGGTGCTAGGTCAAATCCTGCCCACTCCAGCGGGTAGGGTAGATGGGCTACAGCAAGCGGAGACCAGCTGGGTTTTTCCACATGGAGATGGCAGGCGCCAGGCAAGAGACCCCTTCTTTCCAAATCTCAGTGGGCTTTTCTGACCCACATAACTGTGCCTTGCTCAAGCAGAAAATAAACGCCAAAGAGCGGGCAGCCCCAGTGGTGTGTCTGAGAGGTTTCTTAGTCTCTCCTGGTCCCTCTGTTAGTGGCTGGTCCTGTTTACCAGACTTTCGTGGGGGCCTTTCTCAGGGACCTCACAGTGAGGCCCCATCTCAGGTCTGATGACATGTTCCATACAAGTGGGCCCAAGCAGATGGGATGCCTTGCTTCAGAATGGCAGGTAGTTCTGGAGCTGGACAAGGACAACTCAGGGCAGTTGCTGTGGCCACTGTGGGAGGTTGGGGTCCTGGCTATGTGTCTGGGACCCCTCTGCTAGAGAAACTCGATGTCCCATGAAGAACTCCTTTGGGAAGAGTTTGACAAGGCTATCCCTTAATGCCAGGGAGGGTGTGGGGTAGTTAGGACTGAGGCTGGCCTTCTCAGTTGCTTTCTGCAGAGGTATTGTCCCCAACCTTGACAATGCTCAGGACAGGCTGAGACTGGGGGCTGCAGGCATGAGCTATGGATGGACTCAGCAGGCCCTCCTGTCCCCTATGCTATAAATAACTACAAGAGTCCATGGAAGTTCAGTGGCCTATGGTCCCTGATAGCTGAGCCTCCCTCCTGCCTTCCCGTAGGAGTCCAGGCTCCTGTAGTGTGGATGCAGCTTCATTCAGACTCCCAGGCCAGGCGGCTAGTGCTGGAGCAATTGGGGGCTCCTTCCCACTCTAGATGGACCCAGGAGAGGGAGGGTATTCCAAGGAGTAAGTCTTTCTAGCCCCAGTAAGTCTTTCTAGCCACAGCATCTGGACAAGGCCCTTAGAGGGAGCTGTAGAAACCCACCCCAAGTTTCACCTCTTGAGACACTATAACAGTGGACAGGTTAACGAGAGAAAAGCATACAGAGTTGTACAGTTCAAGTTTTATGTGATACGGAATCCTTAAGAATGAAGACCCAAAACAGTAATCTGGGTGTTATCATCCAGAAAAGCTTAACCTGAAATGCTTTTGATTTCAAACTCATTTTTTTGGATTGAGATATCTGCAAGACCACTGGCCAAGTGTCGGTGATCTGAAATCCCAGGTGCTCAGGACCGAAGCTCTGAGTTCCAACTCAGTATAGGACAAGACGCCCACCCTGTGAGAACCTTGGGAGGGAAAACCAGAGAGTGATGCCCCTGGATCTGCGGCCTCCTGCTGCCACTGTCCTCTCAGTTTTCTCCAAGCAGCATAAGTCCCATGTGGGAACTTCTTGGGAAGAGCCAAAGATCTAACAGGTTAGAGCAGGGAGCATTATCCAGTGGGAGCGCACAGTCTGTCCCCTCTCGGAGGTGCTGGCTTCCCCACAGCTGGGCTCTGTGCATGCCCCATGGGGTCAGGGATCAAGGAAGAGGCTGTGGTAAGAGTAGCTCACAGGCCTGTCGAGCCCAGAGATTCTACTCCTTGGGCCTGCAGCATCTTCAGGTGGCACCTGGGAGGCTTTCTGGTCTGCTACTGGGGTGTCACCAAGGTGTTCCACACATGAGTCATGATTTAAGTCCCTACCAAGTCATCCAGCTACAGTTTCTAGAGCTTCAGGAAAGGGGCAGATTTAATGTTTAGTGATTCTAAGCTATAATCTTGGAATTTGGAAATGCTGGTGTGGAGAGTGGTAGCCATATACTGGAGACAAGTATTCAGGATGCAGTCAGGATAATGGGATCAAGAGAACACAGGAACATGATGCTACTGCTTTAGGAAGCCAAGCCCTGGGCCTGCCCCTGTGGCCTGGGTGTGGTGGTGGTGGGGGGTCCTCTTACCAGTCTCCCTAATGCATCTCTGAGTTTCTAGGCCTGCAGGAAGCAACATCCTTTTTCACTCTGAGGCTGTCATGTCTCCAAGGTCCCATGCCAGTTCTTCCCAAGGACCATGAGGTCCATGTATCTAGTTGCAGCTGGAAAAAGGACACCACAGCCCAAGTTTGGCAACAGCCAGCATCCACATTTGTGTCTGTCCCAGGGAAAGCAGGGCCTTGGCACACAGATGGCTATGTTGCCCTGAAAGCAGGGATGCTTGCTAATAGTCTGTGACTTCTGGAAGGATCAGGGAAAAAAGCACAAATATTTTGCCTTTGTTCACAAGTGTTTCCCAAGTTGCTGCAGGCGGGGTCCTCAAATCAGGAAAACTATAGTAAGGGACCAGCAATGTTAAAATCGTAAAAAAAAAAAAAATGGTCACCAGTTGATTCTGTTCTGGGTTGGTGATCCTTGTGGGTTCATCTTGGGGCAGCCTTGAGCCCTCAGTTCTCTCCGGGGTCCTTTGTCCCCCTGACATTGCCAGAAGCCTGTACCAGAGCACCTGTCAATCTCCGTGGGACCTTGAAGGAGAAGTATTTGGACCGTAGCTGATTGCAAATGCTTTCCTTATGATGTCGGTGAATGTGAAGGAACTTAAGAAAGCCATGATTAAGGATCTGATGAGTTGATTACATCAGTTATGCAGTTGACAAGGAAATGTGGTTATTTCTATGGCAACAACATGCTGACATGACAGCAGGTTTCTGCAGCACTCATCAGCACCAACTGCAGCACAGACTACTGTAAATACAGCCCAGGGAAGGGTTGGCTGTGTTGGGGAGCACAAATGAGCCTGATTAACTTAATTTCTCCTGTGTAAGCTGAGATGACTTTCTCACCCCTCTGTACACTGGGGATTGAACCAGGGCATTCCACCACTGAGCCACATCCCCAGCCCTTTTTATTTTTATTTATTTATTTTTTGGTACCAGGAATTGAACCGGGGGGTGGGGGGGCTTAACCACTGAGCAACATCTCCAGCCCTTTTTTTATATTTTATTCAGAGTCAGGGCCTCACTGTGTTGCTGAGGCTACCCCTGAACTTGCAGTCCTCCTGTCTCAGCCTCCTGGGTTGCTGGTGTACACCACCTCCACTTCTGGCTGTGTCCAGGGGGCATTCTGGAAACTCAAGGTCAAAGTTCAAGATCAAAGGGACTTGATTTAGACTTTGGTTTTAGATGTTGTCAATCATGCCAAAAGGTTTGGTAGTTGATTTAATCAAATTGACAAAAGATTTTTTAAAGACAAACTTAGAAGTTTACATACTTGGCCCTTTTGATCATGAGAAGATGCTTTTCAGTAATGGAAGACCTAGTAAAAAACAGTGAAGCCCAAGAAGCTGTGTTTAAGCAAAGTCCTGTCTCCTGGCCAGTCACCAAGGCATAACAAAGGGCCTTTCACAGAGCCAGCTCCAGTGCACCTCTGTGCTGTCACCCCTGAGGCTGACTTAGTGAGCTTTGGTTACAGGAGGGGAGGGTCTGTTTCCATGCATGCTTTATGTTTTAAATACCCCTGTGACAACCAGTCCCTCTGCTTTAGGACAGGCTGATCGCTACCTCTCAGCCAATCAAAGAGCATCATACTTCTCTTGTGTATGTCGTATACAGGATTGTTTCCTTGTTATTTCTAATGGTTTCAACTACTATAAACCATGATTTCAAACTCAGAAACCCTAAATTTTCAGGGAAACCAGGAAGTAAATGAACCACACCCGCCAACCTCCACTGGAGGGACGCCAGTTCCCAGCGCGTCACGTCCTCAGTACAGCTGCTGCACCTGCAGACAGACCCCTTGCACTCAAGTGCTCCATATCTCTTGAGGCCCCAACACCAAGTGGGAGCTCCAGCGCATGCGTCTCCCTGTCACTGGTGTGCTGGTGTTCTGCAGGGGAGCCACCCAGGTGTTGGGTATAGGGTGACCGGTGGGTTTTTGTTGTTGCTTTGTTTTTTGGGGGTACTGGGGATTGAACCGAGGGACACTTGACCACTGAGTGGAGACAGGAAGATCACAACTTCAAAGCCAGCCTCAGCCTCACTCAGCGACTTAGTGAGGCCCTAAGCAACTTAACGAAAGAAATAGAAAGGCAGGGGGATGTGGTTCAGTGGTTAAGCACCCCCGGGTTCCATCCTTGGTACAAAAAAAAAAAAAAAAAAATCATTTACTGTGTTTCTGAGTTTGGGGATACTTATATGAACACTCACTTTCTCCAAGCAATCTGGGTAGAACTCCCCCCAGGGGTTTTATAGACCAGCCTGGGGACGCCCTTAGAGGGGCAGTGCCACTCATCTGGGAGGCCGCACCAGGCTCTCCCTTCAGACCATCAGTGACCCAGAGACAAATATGGTGGGTTTTCTCCACCCGTATTTTTAACCAAATTGTGTTTTTGTCAAAAATGAGAGGTTCCAATTGCCCAGACTGGATAAAGCTCTGTGCTGCTTTTCTGGGGAAAAGACTTCTTAGACTTCATCTCAGTTTTCTTATGTCGATGGTTACTTCCCTGAAGTCTGTGTTTAAGACGACGACTAAGATTTTAGAGGAGATGGCATAGAAAACTTTCAAAGGCAAAAGGATGCTTTTCTTGAGAGGTCTTGGTTATGTTCATCTGTGGCCAAAGGACCACGTTGGAGGCTGGTGGCTGGGGAGACGGCCAGTGAGGGCATTTGGCCAGGCCTGCAGCCTGCTGCTTGTCAGAGTCATGTAGCTGCTCTGCTGCTTCCGCAAGTCCCCACGTGCTGTGTTTGCTGTGCCCACCATCATGTCAGTAAACTAAAGGACCACACTTCTCCTCAGTTGAGGTCCAGGACAGCCAGGACCTGGCCAGGCAGCCCCCAAGGCATCTCAGAGTGGGTTCTCGTACCTGGTGAAGCCAGAGAGTCTCTCCCACAGGGCTTGGAAGCAAGGCCTCTGCTCTGGGTCCCTGCTCCAGCAGGAGCACATCAGCCCGTACACGGGAGGTGGGCACTCCAGGGGGCAAGGCATGCGGTAGCCAGCGTCCACCCTCAGGAAGGCTTCGTGGTTGGACATGCCTGTTGCCAGTGGGACAAGAGGAGCTGAAGAACCAGGAGGCCAGTGCCCACCCTCCACCACCTGGAAGCCACACCCAGTGGCCTGCCGCCCCTCCCCAGAAGCCTTCTCTGAAGCATGACCACCACTGTGTCCTGGACGTTTTCCAGCATAGTCTGCCTCTAACGACCTCCCCCTGGACAGTGACTCCAGGAAGTGGCCCCAGGCACAGGGATGGACATTCCTGAATGCTCAGCCAGTGTACAGGTGTGGTGTTCCAGATGAGGCTATCAAGGAAGCACCTCCCGCCACCCCCGCTGGCCACTCAGGAGCAGCCCAATCAGGAACACTGGGGCCAGTACCTGGGTAAGGTATCTGACCCCTGCTGAAGATCTCATGGAGGAGGACCCCGAAGGACCAGACATCAGATTTGATGGAGTAATGCCCTAGGGAGAGTGCCTCAGGGGCTGTCCACTTGTAGGGGATGCTGTGGTCATGGGAGAGGTAGATGTCCTCCTGCAATCAGACAGGGTAGGGTGGGCCATGGAGGACTGCCTGCACCGTCTCCCCACAGCACACACAGGCGTAGGAGCCGAGGTCTGGGTGGGCAAGTCAACAGCACACTGTGTTGACCACTGTCTGAGCCACTGGTGGCCACTGCTGCTAGACCAGAGGACTCAGACCCCGGGTGTGAGAAGCTCTGATTTAAGGCCATGCTGTGTGGACAGAACCCCTGCCAGCTGTGGTCACAGCATTGGTAACCAACTCGTCTTGCCCATTCTGGGTTCCCATGGGAAAGGAGGACCCTACCCTGGGCCTTGCCCACTGAGGGCCCTACCTTGATGAGCCTGGCGAGCCCAAAATCCCCCACTTTGCAGATATTGTTCTCCCCCACGAGGATGTTCCTGGCGGCCAGGTCCCGGTGAACATAGTTCTGTGACTCCAAGTAGCACATGCCCTCCGCCACCTGCGATGCAAGGTCCACCAGCTCCGAGATGGGCAGGGCTTGCTTATCAGAGTCTGTGGGGCAACAGGAGGCCAAGGTCAGTCCTCACCTGCCAGCTGTGAGGCTCTGCAGGCTGCTGCTCCTCAGCTGGAGCCAAGGGCAGCTGGCCTGGTTGACAGTGTAGCTGTGGGCAGCCTTTCCAGAGGCGGAGACCGTGGCAGCCCGGCTCTGCCTGCAGCTCCTCCAGGTGGAGGAGCAGGGCTCCCCACACTCCAGACTGTTTCTGAAGAACACTGGATCCCACCGAGACCACCTGCAGTGGTCACTTCCTGCGTGAGAATGTGGGCTACGAGATTGCAGGCCTGGGTGTCTCAGAGTTGTGGCGTTTAGACATATCCACCCCAGGTGCACACGGCTGGGTGGCACCGTACCCTGGGGAGTCTCCTCCCATCTCATTGTCCAGTTAGGCCATCTTAGTGGCCAGCATTTGGCTTGGCTTTTGTGTTGAAGGAAACAGGAGCTTTTTGACAACGACCTGGGAAAGCAAGATGCGTGTCCCTGTGTGGGCACGTCCTCTTGCATACACGTGTATGATGCGTTGGCTGTGGGTGTGCACGCGTGTAAGCATGTGGGCATGTCCATGCATGTCCATAAGAATGCATGGTCGGTGTGCACACATGCGTACATGGGGGCACATTAGTGCATGTGCACATTGAAACACCAGCAGGAGGGACCACAGTCCAGGAGGAGAGACGAGCTGGGGACTGAAGCAGGCCTCTGTGAGGGCTGCCAGCTGTGCCAGGTGTTCTGTGAAATGGCCTCGGTTGACACGGCTTTTCTTGTCTGTACTTAGTGAAACTTTCACAAGGAGCACATGGTAGATTTGTTGTATCTTGGGTCATTTCTCTGTTTTTAATATTTATTTTTTACTTATAGGTGGACACATATCTTTATGTATTTCTATGTGGTGCTGAGGATCGAACCCAGGGCCTCGCACGGGTTAGGCAAGTGCTCTACCTCTGAGCCACAGTCCCAGCCCCTCTTGGGTCATTTCTTAAACCAGAAAACAATGATGTGTGTCTTAGAGCTCCCTGGGTGTCTGGCTGGGGTCACTTCTCACCTGCTGTCACTCTCACGCAGGGAAAAGAGGGCCCAGGACCCTGCCCACTCACCCCGCAGCAGCTGCAGCAGGCTCCCCTTGGGCATGAGCTCCGTGATGATGTAGACGGGGTCCCCTAGGGACGCCACGGCGTACAGCGCCAGGATGTGCCTGTGCCGCAGCTGCTTCATGGCCTGGATCTCCCGCTGGAAGGTGTTCTGGTGCAGGAGGTTGTCTGGGGACGCACAGCCTTGGTGGGCACATCCCTCATACAGGCTCCCAGCAAGAGGCCCAGCCCCCGCACGGGCGCTCAGGAAACACCGACTTCCATAGTCAGGCCCCAGCACCCCAGGCCTTGGGGGCCCCATCTGCTCCCGTCCCTCCCTGCCTGAGCCAGAGCCTCAGAGCTGGACACTCCCAGGTCCTCCTGGGTCAGGCCCTGATTCCTCAGGGTGGGGTCCAAACGTACTGTGGCAGATTTCAGGTGGACCTTTTCAGATTTCCAGTCATGCATTTGAGTGGCTTTCCATTACCTTGAGAATTCAGCCTTCTGTTTTGTAATCAGTGTGTTCAGGTGAGGACACAGGTGGCACCCCTCGGGCATGCTGCAGGTACCCCCAGCTGGTACACTGGGGCCCCCTCCCTGAGCAGGGCCAGGCCAGAAGTCACCACTGGCAGGGCTGATGGGGACATGTGGTAAACAGAGCCCCAGCTGGATCCACTCACCTCGGGAAATCACCTTAATGGCCACTCGGACCTGGTCTTTCCAGAGCCCTTCAAAGACCTCCCCAAAATAGCCAGCGCCCAGCTTCCGGCAGAGTGTGAACTCCTCCCTTGGCCTCTCCCAGTTGGCCCAGTGGGGCAGAGGCTCCGACTCGTGCTGGAGGGACAGGCAGGAGGCACAGGAAGGGAGGGGACACTGGCCCTGCCACTGGCTTGCACTCAGGAAGAGCCTTGGTCTATCCTTAACCTTGGGGCAGCTCAGGAGTCTGAGTGGCCCATGCCCATGTCTCTCTCCTGCCCCCACCAGTGACTCTCCTGAGGCCAGTGGCCAGGGTGACCCTTCTTCCCTGGCTTCCCAGAGCCAGGACCCAGCAGGAGCTCAGCTGACCTCTGGTGGGTCAGGTTATAAGAGTGACCAGGAGAGGGGGGCATCTCCTGGTCCCACTCTACCCGTGCTCTGCACTGTACCTTGCCTGGCCCTGAGCAGCCACACCATGGAGGTACAGGGGCCTACCTTACAGCAGGGCACGGTCAGCCGCAGGCCATGGGACAGGCTCTGGGCCTTGTGGTAGTCCAGGAGCTCGGGCAGACTGGGAAAGGACACTGCCTCGTTCAAGTGTAGCCGGCCAGAGCGCCGCCAGATCCTGTAGTGCCGCACGACCTGAGCGTCCCGCACTGGGTGGCAGGACAGAGGAAGCCATCAGCCCGTCCCCACCCTGCATGCTCCCCACCCTACCTGCTCCAAGGGCCTAGGGTCTAACGGTCGCTGCTGGACAGCACTCACCCTCCTTGGGCCCTGCTGGGCCCTGCCCCACGATGACCTCCCAACTTTGCCTGGATGATGGCTGCCCACACTCCCAGCCCCACTAAGATTCCAGAGCCAGCAGAGGCTAATCTGCTCCCCACACACCCCTGCAGAGCCGGACACCTGTGGGTCAATGCTCCCAACAGTGGACGGCCACAGGCAAGGCCAGCAGGAAAGGACCTCAAGAGAGCTTTCTCCCATCAGTGAGAGTCACTCTGGCTTCTGCCCCAAAGGAGGCAGGTGGAGAGGCTCGGAGCTGCCTGGGTGAGCACCAGATGTCCCACACCTCGAAGTCGAAGGGCAGCTGGGTGTGTATGGCCAGGAGGGCCTAGAGCCAAGGAGCCCTGGCAAGCAGGCACAGGCGAGTGGAGGGCTAAGAAGGCTGTACCAGAGAGAACGTAGTCTGCTCCCAGCTTCCCGCTGACCCGGATCAGGAAGGCACCAGTGGGGTTGCCCTCCGCCTGTAGCTGGTGCACGGCCTCTGAGCGGGAGATTTGGCCAAAGAACCACCTGCAGGGGAGGAGACAGCCTGTGTCTCAGCTGACCCAACCCCACCCACCCCGTATCCCAGCCCTGAACAAGCTGTCCTCCCATGCTGCCCGGACCCTGCAGAGGTCTCTACCCACACAGTCCCCAGTAGCTGGTTCTGGATACCAATGACCCAGGCAGGAGAAGGGTAGGCATTCCCCATCCTGCCCCAATGCCCTGTCTGTGGTCAGAACCCCCAGTAGGCTTGTGGTCCTTCTGCTGCAGGACTAGGGCACAGATGCACAGCCCCAGCCTTAGGAATTCAGCTGAGCAGCAGGGCTCCCAGGCACACACAGCACTTGAGCACACACACTCATGTGCACAAGTGCACTGAAGCACCACACACATTTACATTGCACTCACACACGTGCACACGTGACATGCGACAGTGTGTGTGTGCTCAGTTCACGTGTGCACAGATGCACTTGCACATTCATGCACACATAAGCACACACAAGCAGACACACGGACACGGCTGTAGCTTTGCTCACATGCACCCTCCCACAGCACATGCAGGTTCTCAGCATGAGGGCATGGACAAGCCCTGGACTGTGGACTGCAGGGTGTGGCCCTCAGAGTTCCCAGGTGACCTCTGCCCTTCCCTGGGCGACACTGACTCCCTCAAGAGCCATGGCCCACCCTGAGGACACCCCTGGCCCAGAGCCCCTAGGGGTCGACCCCTCATTTGCTATGAAACTTTATCTCCTCTGTGCTTACCCTCTGCCCACCCTGCCTCTTCTGCACACCTCATGCGTGCTGGGTCCTGGGCCTAAGGGCTACTGAACCTGTGTGTTGGCCACCTGGACCCTACAACCCTTCACGTCTCACACCCTCTGCCTCTGAGATGACCCACTTGCAGCTCGATGCACTGCTTTGCATCTCCCTATGCATACTCCCAATCTTCTGCATGCAGTAGGTGCTCAATGTGGGTGCTGAGGAGAGTTGGGCTCTCAGAAACACAGGCAGCAGGGACCCGTCCTGTTAGGGAGGTCTTTGAAGGGCGCTGGAAAGACCAGGTCCAAGTGGCCTTTAAGGTGATTTCCCGAGGTGAGTGGCTCCAGCTGGGGGCTCTGTTTGACCACATGTCCCCATCAGCCCTGCCAGTGGAGACTTCTGGCCTGGCCCTGCTCAGGGAGGGGGCCCCAGTGCACCCCAGAAGCCACGGTCCTCAGGTACTGTGGACATACCCACCCCAGCTGCCCTGTAATCCATCAAAGCCTCCTGGGCACCCAACTGTGGTGGGAACAGGGACAGCCAGCGTGGCTGCTGGGAGGGGACACCTCACAGACGCATTCCCATACCTGGCCCTGGCAGGCCAATGGGTGTGCCTAGGTGCTTTCCTGCTCCCATAACTAGGCTGCATGTCTGGTTCCGGCTGTTGGGAAAGTGAGCAGACTTCACACCCAGAGCCCTGGACTCCCTCATAGACTTTGCCACTGGTTACCAGTCCCCCAAAAGCCCACTCTGGACCCTTCTGTCCTCTCCAGGTCCAGCAGAGCAGTTCCCATGACCAGAGAGTGGCTGTGGGGTGTCCTAGGGAAGCATGGTCTCCAAATGTCACAGAGCCACACACCCCCAGCTCTCCCAAGTGCCAGGACAGGAGGGTCCAGAGACAGGGCCCATCTGGATGCACGGCCCATCATGGGATGCAGGAAGGACAGAGCCAGGGTCTTTCACACTCCCAGTTTCCCCAGGCCCCCAGTGCCCCTGCCCACTCTTGCACACAGCTGCCTGCCCTGCCACAAGCCCTCGCAGCCCAGGAACACTCACGGCTCAGACTCCCCGGCCTCCTTCTCTGCCAGGTAGTTGCAGGGCACATAGCCCTCAGCAAGGGCCGCACCTGCAGAGTCCAGCAGGGTGGCCCACCACCACTGCTCCTCCTTCCTGGTCACGTGGAAGATGTCCCCCTGCCGGAAGCTCAGCTCCTCATCTGTCCGTGCCTCAAAGTCCCAGAGGCCCACATACTTGGGGCCTAGGTGGACCTGGTCCCGGGACACCATAGCAGGCACAGTAGCAGGACAGGGCTGTGAGCTGGGAAGGGCAGAAAGCTGTCCCTGACAGGCCAACCCCACTCACTTCCTCATCACCAGACAGGCCAGCCACACCCGCACCCACTGGGGCTGGCCTATCCCGGGCTCCACCCTGGAGCCCCACCAGTCTCACACGCCCACCTGCTGGCCCAGCAGCCACATGGGAGGGAGGCGGAGCCACCCATGGACCAGGACATCTCATGCAGGTGTCAGCAGAGCCAGGGACCTTTGGGGGTGAGTCCTGGGTCCCAGGGGCAGTAGGAGGGGGCCAGAGAAGGCATCAGTGAGGGCTGTGGGCAGATCGCTGGAGGTGGGCAGATCGCTGGAGGTGGCCAGCGGCCTCTTCACCACAGACTAACGTAGGGAGCTGCAGGGGGCACCTCCGTGGGCAGCCCCCACAGTCAGGGTCACCCTTGGGAGGGAGCAAGAGGGGACTGAGGTGGACTCAAGGAAGTCCGGCGGGGAGGGGCCCAGGGGTGAGGCTTGTGGGCCAAGAGCAGCATGCCAGGGCCTGGGTGTCCATACAGCCAGTGGGGGTGCCGGCAGCTCTGGCCCGCCCTGTGAGGACACTCAGAGAATCCATCCTGGGGAGCCACCCTGGAAAGGAAGGCTGGGCCAGGGCTCAGGCAGCTGGGAGACCAACAGGGGATGGGGACATGAAGGGCCAAGGGACCAGGAGGGTGCAACCCTAGACCCTCAGCTGAGGAAGCAGGCACTGTGCCCTTCCCGACAAGGACACATGGGGGCGTCCAAAGACCATGAGCTGCGGCCTGAAGCACCTCACTGCCAGGGAACCCCTCTTCCCTCCCTGCACCCCCCTCCAACCCTGCCTGGCCCCACCTGCCCATTCCTAGCAGCCTGCCTGTGACCCCTCAGCCTCCCACCACCCAGCCCCCACCCGGCCCCGCAGTGAAACTGACACTCTGCCCCTGCTCCCTTTCCCCAGGGTGACCTAGACCATCTTCCTAACCTGCGGGCCCTGCCCTGACTCCTCCAGGAGCACCTCCCCAGGGGTGCGGAGGACAGCTGTGAAGGGGGCAGGAGGGAGTGGGGAGAGGAAGTCACCAAGTCTGTGAGGAGTGACCAGGGGAATCACGGGCTAAGCTGGTTGGAACTTTTCCTTTTGGTGGTGCTGAGGATCAAGGCCAGGACCTCACCTGTGCCAGGCAAGTGCTCTGAGCTACAGTTCAGCCTTTAGACATATATTTTTTTAAGAGAAATAATGGCACTTCCACCCACTTCATCTGAGACGAAGAGGAGGAATGTGGATTATTTGGCAGGTTCATGGACAGCTCAGGCAGCCCAGCTCACTTTTCTTCAAGGTGAGGAAGGGACTGTAGAGGACTGAAGTCAGAGGTCAGACGAGGAGGGGAAGGACGTCAAGGGGAGGCGTGTCTGGATGTCCGGCTGGCCCGGGGAACACAGATTTTGCACAGCGGCCTCTGCCCCTGCCTGCTCCAGGGCCTCAAGCCTTGACCTGAGCTGTGTCCAGAAGCCTCGGCGAGTCCTTGGCAAATGTGTGGGTGATTCCAAGATTTACCCGGAAGCAGGAATCCCCAGCCCCTGCTGGGGACCCAGAAGGGTCAACCTTCCCAACCCATGGCTGACAGGACACCCAGGAATGTGCCCAGGCCACAAACAAACCTGCCTCTGTGGGATGGCCTCCTGCAGAGGCCTCCCATCCCAGAACAGGTGCCAGCCCAGGTCCCCAAACTAGGCTGAGCCACCCCAGAGCCCAGGCCACCCTGACTCTGTGCTGGGGAGGTGCCTGAGACTTTGGCTCAGGGCCTCGCCTCTCCAGCCCAGTGCCCTGCCCTCCTGGGGTGGCGGGGTTGGGAGCTGCAGGCCCAGGCAGAAGTATGGCCCAGAGGTCGGGAGTGGGGGCCCCAAAAGGGCTCAGCCCAAACCCCTCTACTGCCGCCACCCACAGGGCTGGAACCCAGTGTGGCCTCCGAGGCACCTAGATCTCCCCTTTCCACCCAGCACAGCCAGGCTCAGCTGCGTCCCCAGAATGACAAGCCTCCAGGGCTCTCCTCTGCACCTGCTGCCCTGCCCTTGGTCCCCCGGGGACCACTCTGCCTCCCTCCAGGAGGCCGACTGTGCCAGCCCTGCAGAGCCACTGCTTTGCCTGGGGGGTGGTCACTTCGCACAGAGGGGTTCCTGTTCCCAGCTCCCTCCTATGCCAGCACGTGGGCAGGGCCTGTGATCAGTGATAATGAGCAAACCGGCCTCAGAGCTGCGCCTGAGCTCCGTCCCTCTAGGAGATGGTGAGCTAAGCTGTCTTTCTGTCCCTACAGCCTTAGGGGCACAGCTGCAAACCTGGGCTCCCAGGGACAGAGGGTGATCTTAGGAGACCCTGGATGAAACCCCCAGCCTCTGTGTGCCACCCCTGGTATCCTGTGGTGTGGGGTAGCCAAGGGCCAGCCACACGGCCCTGCCCAGCTCCTCGTTCCCAAAGAATCCCACCCCCGATAAGAGTATGCCCATCTGGGATTTGGTCTTCCCTGGAGTGGGCTGGCAGCTGGCAGCTAGCACACACACAGCACCTGCCCCACCCTGCCCACCCCGCCTCCACCCACTGCCCATCCTGGGAACAGACCTCAAGTACAGGTCGCTTGCCCTAGAAACAGTCTCATGCTGTCCACCAGCAACCCAGCCTGTCCTCCTGGGTCCTGAGACTTCCCACCTCAAGCCCAGCCCACTGGCTCTGCTCCAGCCCAGAGCAGGGCTGTGACTGACACCTACAGCCTGTCAGTTCCTGCCAACATCCACAGAGTTCACTCTGTGGCTGCTCATTTTGGGCACCAGGGTGTCCTGGGGGTTCTGCTCTCTCTTCCACCTTTGTTAGCAGGATGGACCTCCTTCAGCTCCATCGCCTGGTTCTGGGTTTGGGGGTCAGCGTGTAACACATCCATGCCCATGTCTGAGTCAATCAGAACATCTTTACTGGGTGTAGCCACATGTGCCAGGTTTGCCAGTGCCTACAGGGGGCAGGAGACAGGGCCAGCCCTATGTGCACACATGTGCCATTGGGTCTGCCTGGGCGCCCCAGCACTGGCCACTTAAACTCACAGTGGGACGTGGGGGAATCTTCCCCTCCTTCACCCTGGGAAGGAGTCAAGGAGGACCCGCACAAGGCCAGCTGCGGCCTCTCCACCCAGTGTCTCTGAGGCTCTACTCTGTGCTTCCTCTGTCCTGGAGACACCAAGCACACAGGCCACACCAGGCAAAGGACACTCTGCCATCTGGGTGGGTGTGGGTGGCTGAGCTCCATCTGCAGGTGTCCAGGTCCCTACGTGTCAGCACAGGAGGCCCACAGCTGGAGTTGCTGGTTTGGTTCCCAGCTGTGCAGCCTTGACCTGGGGTCACCCTGCAGAGAGCATTGGCCCTGGCCGCCACCCATGGCCAGAGCCCTGGTCACAAGAGGGCCAGGTGGAGGTGCCTGTGCATGGTGCCCAGCTTCTCCCACAGCATGGCAAAAGTGGGCCGCTCCTCAGGGCTGTCCTTCCAGCACCTCGACATGAGTGTGTAGACCTCCGCTGGGCAGGCGGCTGGGCACGGCAGCCGGTATCCTCGGCTGACCTGCCGCAGTGTCTCCTGGTTAGACATGCCTGGGGAGGGGGTGGATATGGAGTGGGAGCTACCTTGATTCTGTCTGGGTTCGCTGTGGAGACCTTGCCCAGCCTAGCAGCCTGCCCTCCACCAGCCCCTGCAGCCCTCAGAGCACAGGCTGAAGCCAGGTACCCTCCAACGTTCAGCCCTCCCAGGGCCGGATGAGCCTCCTCCCTCAGATCAAACTTCTTCCAGGAGAGGCCTTGGCTCTCTTTGGGTAGGCTGCACACCTTCATAGGGACACTGGCCATAGGTGAAGATCTCGTAGAGCAGGATGCCAAAGGACCAGATGTCTGACTTCTGGGTGAAGACACGGTAGTTGGCGGCCTCGGGTGCCGTCCATTTGACAGGGATCTTGAAGCCACTGCTTGGGGAGTAGACATCATCCTGGGGGGGTGAGGGGAGGCCAGTGGTGGGGCAGTCGCAGAAGTGCCCTCCTTGCCCGTGGGCTCAGGAGTCCAGAATCCCCACTGACCTTGAGCAGCCGGGCCAGGCCAAAGTCAGCCACCTTGCAAGTGAGGTCATTGCCCACGAGCACGTTCCTGGCAGCCAGGTCCCGGTGGACCACACGCTGCTCCTCCAGGTAGCCCATGCCCTCGGCCACCTGGCAGGCGAAGCTCAGCAAGAGCGGCAGGCTCAGGGCCCGGCCCTCGGGGCCTGCAAAGGGAAAGCAGCTCAGGGACCAAAGGCTACAGAACGGGCCCCATGAGAGTCAGGCAGGCAGATGCCTGCTCAAGCCTCTTGACCCTTCTGTGCCTCAGTCTCCTGTTCTCTAAGATGGCATGAGAACAGCCAGTAATGCCAAAGTGGGCAGTGAGCAGGACAGGAAGAGCAGGTCCTGTGCCTCCATGTGACTGCTCAATGCAAGCTGTTTCTTGGCCACTGAGTCAAAACCCTGAGACTCCAGGGTAGAGGAGACTCAGAGAGGAGGATGGGGTGCCCGGGGGCTGGGCTGGGTCCATAGACCTTATACAGAGCTGGTAACCCATATGGGGACCCCTGCTCCCGGTAGACTCCAGGCCCAGCCTCAGAAACACATGTCTCTGATTGTCCCTCAGCAAAGCCCAGCCCCAGCCCAGATCCTGGCTCCCAACTCCCTGCTGGCCAGAGACCCAACAGGAACTGGTGTCTGCAGCCTGGGCCACACATGTTCAATAAAGAGGCCTGGCCCACCACCAAGGGCCTGCCACCAAGGGCCCCAGGGACAGCCTCCATGCAGAGGGGAGGGCATCATCCACACTCAGCCAGAAGGATATGGCCAGCATGGCAGGGCAGTACTCACTTCCCAGATAGGACTGCAGACTGCCCTTGCACATGAGCTCCGTGACGATGTACACAGGCTCTCCATCGGAGCACACGGCATACAGCCGGATGAGCCGCTCGTGCCTCAGGGTCTTCAGCGCCTCGATCTCCTTGGCCAGTTCAGCCAACCTCATGTTGGCTGCAGGAGAGGACACTGCACCAGGACCACCCATGCCACCCCCACTACCGCCCCAGGCTGGCTTCAGACGGAGGGCCTCACCTGACTTAATGGTCTTGACTGCCACGGGCACAGAGCCCTGCCACAGGCCTTCCCACACTTGCCCGAAGTAGCCTTCACCCAGCTTCTTCCCAAGGACAAATTCTGAGCGAGGTCGCTCCCACTTGTCCTGTGCTGGGGGCCTCTGCAGGGAAGGCAGCTCAGTGCCCTGCCAGCCACTCCCCTGGCAAAGTGGACAGGAGGGCTGGGCAGGGTGGGCTTCTGGCAGGGCCCTGCCTCCTGGTTTTTTCTGCACAGAGCCCCCACATCAGGTCTTGGGCATCTCTTTTCCCCTAGACTCATTCGCCCCAGGCCTGGACTAGAACACAGGGAAACCAATGCTGGCCTTTCGTAAGACTGGCCCTGAGATGCAGGAGCTAATTGCTGTGGGGACCTAAGTGGCACCTTCTCCTGAGCCGGCCGGATATCCGTCCACAGACATTCATTACTGCTCCTGACTGGGCTGTCATTATGAGACCAGAGAAACCAGAGGGCCCTGCCCTTGCCCTGGAGCACAGCTCTGGTGCAGTTCCAGGATGCAGCCCCATGGGAGGGCTAGCACTTCCTCCCGACACTTCTGCCTTCAGGGCCTGGGACAGCTGTGGGTGCCTTCCCCGACTGGTCACTGCCACTGCCTCCTGCCCTGCAGAGTGGGGTGCACCCATACCCCCCACAGTGATCCCCCGCATCTTTCCTCCAACAGCCAGGGTGCCACCCCAAGTGGAGGGCACAGAAGCCACTGGACTCTCACTGCCCCCAGGTGGGGCAGGTCCAGGAACTGGCTGAGCGACTCTGAGACTGAGTCCTGGTGGCTCCCAGGAACAGGGTCCAGTGAGGCCCACCTGGGGCACGCAGGGCTGCAGCAGTGGGTTCTGGATCAGCTTCCAGTTGGCCTTGTAGTAGGCGAGCAGAGACTGCAGGCTGGGGAAGAGCCGGCCCTCCTGCAGGTAGAGGCCGCCTCCCGGGGCTGTACTGATGCGGTAGTGGCAGACTTTGGCCTGGGCCCGGACTGGGAGACAGAGATGGACACTGGGGACTCTGCTGCAGGCGTCCCCACCTCAACCTCTCCTGTGGCCTGGCTCAGACCAGTGTCTGGGGTTCCTGAGGTGGCCAGCCCTGTGTGCAGGGGTGGGAGTGGCAGCTGCATGGCAGAGGCAGTGTTGAGCTCTGGGGGCACAGAGCAAGTGCTTGATAGATTCTTGTTGGATGAAGGAGTCCATGATTAAGTGAAGGGAGGGAGGAGGAAGGGAAAGAGGGAGGGGAGGACACCTATGTTCACCAGGAATGGGTAAAGAGGCTGGTACTGCCTGGGGACCCGCCACCCCAGCTCCGAGGTGCTAGCTGATGGGGGCTGAGCAGCACCCCACTGTGGGACAGCCATAAGGCACTGCCTTTGTACCTGACAGTGAGTAGTCTCCAAGGCTGCTCTCGCTGGGCCGGATGAGGAAGGCCCCTGGAGCGTTAGCAGGGGACAAGAGCAGTTGCTGGGCCTGGGTCCTGTTGATCTCACAGAAGTACCAGCTGCAAGCAGTGGGCAAGGTCACTGCAAGTCCAACACCGTGTGACCCCAGCCAGGCTTCAGGCCACAGTTGTCCTGACATCTCTTGGGGACAAGGTACAACCAGTGCCCAATCTGGGGTCCCAACTCAGGGTCTCCACCAACCCCTGTCCCCTGCTTGACGGGGCTAACTCAGCCACCACAGGTGAACTGAACACTGACTCCCACAGGAGAGACTGTTCACTCACCTGGACCACTAGCTCTCAGTTAACTCTGCTACAAATGACCTCCAATTCCCTGCCCATCAAGTGACCATTAGTCCCTGCCACAGGCTAACCATCAGCCCTGGCCACAGGCTGAACGCACCAAACTTGAAACTTTGATGATCCCCTTAGGGGGTTCACAGGAACAGGTCCCCAACAAACTGCCCCAGTAGCACCCTCTGGGCTGCCAGTATGACCGGAGAGGACCATGGGTGCCATCTGACGGGGCATGGTGCCTTGGGAGGTGGCTTAATGGGGACTGGGAGCCCCTAGAGCAGGTGACTTGAGCCAGGTTGTGCAGGTCGGGAGAGAGAACCAGTGAGGGATTTAGGAGAAGCTCATGGCATCTTGCACTCTCAAGGTCGTGCCCAGGGAAGGTGGCCCAGAGCTACCTGACCTCTGTCCGTAGAACGCTCCCCTCTGAGCCAGGTAGGTGTTTGGGCCTCTGTGAACACCAGGGGACAGGGGCTCCCCGGCACCCACTCCTCGATTTACTTATTTATTCATTTATTTTGTTTGTTGGTGGACTTTAATTAATTTATATGTGGTGCCTCACACATGCTAGGTGAGTGCTCTACTACTGAGCTACAATCCCAGCCCACTCCTCAGATTTCTAGACACAGGAGTCCACAAACTCGAGTTTAGAGGTCAGGGGCCATCTCCTAAGTTGTTTAAGTCACGCCGTGTGGTCCCCTCATTCCTGGGAGCCAGTGACATCCTTGGGAGGGAGAAGTAGCTCCCAGCCCCCCTCCCCATTGGGTGTCTCTGCTGTCCAGGGTCCAGGTGGGGATCCACACCTGGCTCAGCTTCCCACCTCGACCTCCTACTTCTGGGACCTTCCAGGGACCCAGCCAAGAGAAGCACGCTGCCCTGCCCCGCGGGAGCACAGCCACGTGGGAACAGTCCTGTGAGCACGGGATCTCATTCACCCAGATGCAGGAAGCACAGTGAGCAAGGGGCATGGGGGCCAGCTCTGAGACCACCCAGAGAGTAGGGTCAGAAGGGATCCTGGAGGACCCGTAGTGCGACTCAGAGCAGCCCACATGGGACCAGAGGAGCCTGCACCCCTACCCTGGGGAGCCATGGGTGAGGGAACTGGCTTGGCCAAGGCAAGGGGCTGGGCTGAAGTCAGAGGGAAGGGCACAGAATCAAGGACAAGGCTGGAATTTGGGCTGGACCCTCCTGAGACTGGCCATGCAGCAGGCTCTGAGAAGACCACAAACTCATTTGAGAAGCCAAAGGTACAGCCCACAAGACTGGCTGGCTCTACTGAATGCTTCCTGAATACAGCCCCTGCCTTGGAGGTCCACCAGCAGGCCAGCAAGACCTTCTGTGGGTGAAGGGCCTCTGTCATTCCTTTACAGAACAGAAGGATGTGGGGTACAGGAGAAAGGGGGTCTCCCCAACATGTCCCCACCCTTCTCCAGGAGCCTGCGTCACGACCCTTGCAAATGCAGTTGAGACTCCCCTGTGCACCCTGAGAGGTAAAGGTCTCTCCCTGGGACACGGAGCCAGGTGCTAGAGTAATGATGCCACAAGTGTGGTCAGGCCTTTCATCTCCAGGCTCAGGCAATCATTAGCTCTCCCCAAGAGCAGCCCTGCCCACCAGGCGCCCTTCCCTGCCTGCCTGCCGTGCCAGCAGCCTCCAGGAGCTGTTCACAGGATCTGTCTTCCATATCCACTGACTGTGAACCCTCTCCCAGGGAGACCTGGGACCTGCCTCCTTGGCATGGGTGAGGGCTGGAGCCCCTCATCAGGCACCTTCCTGTGACTCCAGCTTCACCTGTCACATGAAATCTCCCAGGAGAATGAACACTAAGGGCCCCCCAGAAGGCTGGAGGTGGCCCTGAGCAATGCTGACACAACTTGGTTTGCAGAGACCAGGCCCAGGGCTCAGACCAGCTGAGCCTAGGAGCAGGGGAAGCTGCCCAAGGCCCAGCAGGACCTGCTTCCCACCAGTTCTCCACCTGTTCATCCCAGCATGTGCCTGATGAAAGACCCTCCTCACCTGCTGGTGCTGAAGGAGGTATCTAAACCTCCCAGGATCCCCAGACTGGGCCAGAGCTTGCCACATCTTGATAATGGAGACTGCAATAGCCACAAAATCTGGGCTGACCAACTGCATTTAGGGGAAAGGCAGGCAGGAACCACACCCTAGGACCTGGGTCCAATACTTGACGCCACAGCACTGTGTCCCTCATATAGGCCCTGTTTGGAGCTGGCACACAGGAGTGCTTAGTCTCTGCCTGCAACCCAGGAGGCTATGCAGCCCAGTGAACCCTCAGCCTGGGCTTCTCTGAGGACCCAACCAGGAGAGCACCTGCCCTCCAAATCCCAGAGTGTTGTGCAAACAACCAGGTATCCACACTGGCCACTTGCCACTGGTGGTCTTTACCAGTCCTGGGGACCCCAGGAATTCATCCATTCCCCCTTGCACCTTCTTCCTAAACAAGCCAGGGCATGTCTGGATCCCACTTGGGTGGTTTGGAGAATGTGGACAGGTGGTATAGTGCCCTTACAGTACCAGGGGTCCCTGCATGGACGCCTGGAACCTGAAGCCCTCCGAAGAGCTCCTGGAATGGAGTGAGGCCTGAATCAACTGGCACATATCAGAGCCCAAGCCCTGCCCTCGAAGCAGGGGCCACTCAGTGAACACTCCTGAAGTGGATCCCTGAATGAGGGCAGGGTCCTGGAGTGCTGCCATGCTCAGCACCTGACCTGTTGTCCATCACCTGGACCTGCTACTCCTGTGCTTCCCTCTAAGAAGTGCAGTTAATCTGTTTCACAGTGGCCAGCTCACCTGCCTGCTCATCCTGGTGCAACAGGTACCTCATGGAGGGTCAGAGAACATGCATACATTCCCACTTAAAATCCTGTCTTACTCCACTCCCCAGACCTAAACAGGCTCTGGGGCTCAGGCCCAAGTACTCACGGTTGGTCTGAGAGCATCTCAGGGGTGGCTTTGGCAACGTAGTTGATGGGCACCAGCCCGGTGCTGCGCGGGCTGGAGAGCCTTCGGGCGAAGATATAGTCGCCCTCCTCCTTGAGGGCGTAGAGCCTGTCCCCGCGAGTGACGCTCAGCTCCTCCGCGCACCGCGCGGTGAAGTCGTAGAGCGCATGAAAGAGCTGCGCGGGGGGCACAGAGCGCAACTCAGGGCTCTGTGGGGGACTCGGTCGCTGAGCCGGCGGCGGGTTAGGGCGCTGGGCTAGCCGGGGGCTCGGTCGCTGGGCTGGCGGGGGGCTACGGCTCTGGGCCGGCGACGGCGGCGTCAGGGCCCCGGGGCCCGGGGATGCTGTCCTCTGGCTCACCCGCCTCCAGATCTTGTCCCAGAACCTCAGGAAGGCCAGACGCTTCCTGAGGAAGGGCTCCGCGCCCTTGGGGGGCGTCGGGCTCGGCTGACGCTGGAGGTGCATGGGGCAGCCTTAGGGTCAGCACACCCGGCTGAAGAACCCCCAGCAGAGGAGGCCGAGTGCCGAAGCCATCAGAGTGCGAAGGAGAAACTGGAAGGGCCGGTGGGACCGCTGGGTGGACTTCCTGCGCAAGTCCCTAGCTGGCACCTGGTATAGGGTGACAGACAGGGTCACTCCAGAGGGTCCCTAAACAAGGCACACAGCTCCCCGCCTGCTTCCTAGATTGGATAAATGACGGGTGGGGCGAAGGGCAGCACCCGTAGCCCCTCCCGAGGACCGCTGTGATGTCCGGTTGTGCTGAGAGCAGCTGGGCGGGGCTGCAGCGGAGGACAGGCTCCAGGTGACTGAGTGGGCGGTGCCGCGGCAGGCGCCGGCCCCAGTCGTGCTCCGCAGGCCCAGCGGGAGGGAGCGGCACTGCCCTGCCACGCCCTGCAAGTGCAACAGAGAAAGGCTGGAGCTCCTGCCCTGCTGCCCTCGAGAGTGGAGGTCCCTGGAGGGGGCAAAAGCTGCTCATCATCAGTGTGCTGGTGTGAGGGGCAGCATCCTGGGTGTCAGGCTGAGGCTGGCTGCAGGAGCTCAGAGTTCCATCCATATCCAGAGGGCACAGCTTCAAGGGTCTTTATGGGTGGGGTGTGCTCCCCCTTCCCCAGGAGTGGAACCTCACTGCTCCCAGGGAAACTTTCCACCAGCATCAGCTCACTGCCCACCCAAGGTCAGACAAGACTGTAAGCAAACTGGGCCATCCCGGCCACAGAGCACCACTCAGCAATGAGACAGAGCAACTGTTAGTGCACAGGATAGTCCCAACAGTCAGGAACTACGCTGAACCTCAGAGGCTAACCCCAAAGGCTGCAGGTACTGTGACTCAGTCCAGGGCCTTGTGTGTGTGCTAGGCAAGACTCTGCCACTGAGTTTCAACCCCAGCCCCTATACAGCATTCTTAAAATGACACAATCATAGTTAGTGGTTGCAGGGCTAAGGAAGGGTGGGTGAGTCACCAAGGAGTTCCTTTGGTGGATCTCCCTGTGTCGGTCAATATCAGTGTCCCAGTGTGATCCTGTGTTACAGCTTTCCAAAAGGTCTCCTTCTGTGGACACTGGGTACATGTACGTGGGATTTGTTAGTCCCTACTAACCACATATCTCAATCCACATATCTCAAATGAAAAGCTGATTAAAAAGTAGATGGGAAATTAGGGAAAAATTTAGATGGGAAATTAGGAATAGCAAAAAGGGTTTGGAGAGCTGGGGTTGTGGCTCAGTGGTAGAGCACTTGCCTAGCCTGTGTGAGGCACTGAGTTCCATCCTCAGCACCACATAAAAATAAAATACTGTGTCCACCTAAAGCTAAAAAATATTTTAAAAGGGAGGGGGACAAGGAGAGGGCAGAGATCAGGACATGCCTGAAGAGGAGGGGTTTCTGTCCCCACATTCCTCCTCTAGAGGAGAGCTGCAGGCCTGGGGTTAGAGGGTCTTCCTCCTGCTGATTTTCACCCACTTCCCCTTCCCAGAGGCAGTCACCCCCCTCTGGCAGTGCCTTTTCTTCAAATAATCTAGATCTCCCTTGAATCTCTAAATCAACAATGACCCCTGCTCTGACTTCTTTAGTGTCCTGGCAAGGACAGATCAGCACCCACCACCCCTGTCCAGTCAGTTCCTGGGCTTCCATCCTTAGGCTGGGAGGTCACAGCAAACCAATGGACAGTCAGCTGGAGCTGAAGGGCTGTGGCCACAGAACAGGCTAAGAGGAGTTGGGGACAAAGTCTTATCCTGGAAGGGGTTGCTCCTATGTGGGGGCAGTAAGTGGCGAAGTGCACCTTTGGGTGTCTGAGACCATTGCCAGAAAAAACCCAGGCTGTCTTCCCAGCAATAGGGGGAAGGCTAGAGGGGGGAGGTGGGGGAGGTGGGGGGTGTAGGGTGTACGGATGGGATGGGGACCTGAGACCTTCCCCAGAGCTAAATGGAGACCCCATTTATCCAGACCAGACATGGCCTAAGCTTGGGCAAACCCTGTGGAGAGGCAGCCTGCGTGGGAGAAGTGGTCACCCCTGGCCCTGCTGACGGCTGGCTAAGGTGACCCCGTCACCAATTCCTGGTCACCTTGACCGAATTCCTCGGAGACCCCCAGGGCGGTGCTAGGGCTGGGACCTCCTGCAGGTGCCCTTCCCCGTACCAAAAAGGGTCCGCAGGTGCCAGTGCTGATCCCCCCCCCCCCAGGGCAGTGAGCAGTGACACGAGCTGAAGGCGGTAGGCCTCAGGCTCCGCGTTCGCGGCACCCCCGCGCCAAGCCTGGCTTTCGTTGCGCACGGGGCCACGGGGCGGGGCTGAGGGCCGCTGCTCTCTGTCCGCAGGGCGCTGAACACCCTCGCCCGCGGCGTCTACGCTCAACCCTCACGACACGTCGCAGGCATCCCGTCGCGCGGGGTGTCACAATGACCTGCAGTCCCCATGGCAACCCGCTGGCGGGCGGGGCCGAGGCGGCGCGGAGGGCTTTGACAGTCGGCAGCAGGGCTTCGCTCAGCCGGCCATCCAGGCGCAGGCTGGGGAGGCAGCGGCACTTGGAGAGGAGGGCTCTGGGAAACGAGGGGTAGGTGCGGGACTCGGGAGGTGGGCACGGGGGCCGGGAAGCGAGGGGAGTGCGCAAGGGTGGAGATGCCTGTAGTCTGTTTAAGGGAAGTGGCCTGTGGCCAGGGGCGTAATGGGGTCAGGAAGGTGGGGAAGGATAGGTCTGGGGATGCCCCTTCCTAGAGTTCATGGGCAGCCCTATACAGCCTTCCAGCTGGGAGGCTGCTGTGCACGGAGGTGGTGAGGTGTGCTGGCCTGCAGCCAGGACTCCTGAGGTCCTGATCTCAGCTTGCACCTCACCCCAGAAACCCTCCCTGTGTCTCCAGGGGTCTGTTCTGGCTCTTTTGCTCCAGGAAGAGCAAGGTAGGCCTTTAAGGACTGAGGCTGTCTCGGGTCACACTCTGACCACAGACCTGTATGGCCTTGGGTCACTTTGCTCCTAGGTAATCCATTCACCCCAGAAGGCTATGACATCAGGGATGCCAGCTGAAGCCACTGGCCCAGCTCAGGGGTTGCTGGGAGCTGAAGGTAGCCAGGGATATTGGCCTCTTCTCCAGAGAGCTTTGGCAGCAGGGCCAGCCTGTGGCAGCACCCAGCCATGGGGTACACCAGCCCCAGCAACACAGAGCTGGAACCTGAGCTGGGAGGAGCAGAGGGCAGACTCTGGGGCTGATGGTTCATATCATGGAAGCAGCCAGGAGCAGTACCTGTAGTTCCAGCTACTGGGGAGGCTGAGGCAGGAGGATACTTTAAACCCAGGAGTTCAAGGCCAACCTGGGCAACATAATGAGACCCCATCTCAAAATAAATTATAAATTTTTTTAAGACCTGGAAGGAGACTAAACTACCAAGATTTTTAGCCTCAGGCTTCCCATCTGTGAAAGCTGGTGACAGGACCTATCCTTTTGTGGGTCTTTTTCTGTGCCACCAGCCTCAGTACGGGAATACTCAGTACTAGGACTAATACAGTGCTGATTCCTCAGAGCACTCTCCTCGTTGAGACCTGCTCCTCTGCTCTGCAACCTCAGGGAGAACCAGTAGGTGAGGATGCACCACAAATGCCCCAAGAGAGAGTCATGGACTGCTCAGGGTCACTGAGTCCTCTCTACAGCCCTAGGGCACCTTCCCTGTGTCAGATGAGGAGCTGAGCTCATACCAGACCCACAGCTGGTCAGTGGCAGGGGTTTCGCCTGGGCCATTCTGACCCCAGCCTACTCTCTCAGCCCTGACTTGACTCTTCACTTCAAAGGACAACTAACTGCCCCCTTGGTAAGAGGTTTTCTGCCCCCAACGTCCACTTTTGTCCAGCTACACAGACTTCCTGTCAGGCCCTTGAGATAGCCTTTTCTCAAAAAGCTGTGCCCCTGGGAAGGGCAGAAGCCCAGTGTGGGGCAGAGGGCAGAGGGCAGAGGACAGAGGGCCTGGGTGGGCGGCTAAGCCAGCCTGACTGTTGCAGCTCATGCCAGCCCTTACCCCCAGCTCCAGACCATGAACTTCAAGGTCACGGGCCTGGGCCTGGACAAGATGAGGCTGGACAGTCCACAGTCCTTCCTGGACACGGAGGAGGTGGAAGAGGGGGAGGATCAGCAGCTGCTGGAGCCAGAAGCTTGGAGGACCTATATGGAGCACCTCAATGTGCTTCGTGAGTTCCTGACCTCAGACCTGAGCCCCCATCTGCTCAAGCGCCACCATGCCCGCATGCAGTTGCTGAAGAAGTGCTCCTACTACATTGAGGTCCTCCCCAAGCACCTGGCCCTGGGTGACCAGAACCCACTGGTGCTGCCCAACACCATGTTCCAGCTCATTGACCCCTGGAAGTTCCAGCGCATGAAGAAGGTGGGCACAGCACAGACCAAGATCCAGTTGCTGCTGCTGGGAGACCTGCTGGAGCAGCTGGACCGTGGCCGTGCAGAGCTGGATGCCTTGCTCGAGTCCCCAGACCCGCGGCCCTTCCTGGCTGGCTGGGGGCTTGTGGAGCAGCGGCTGGCAGACTTGTCGGCTGTCATGGACAACTTCCTGGCCATGATGGTGCCAGGGCGCCTGCACATCAAGCACCGCCTGGTATCCGACATTGGGGCCACAAAGATTCCACACATCCGGCTCATGCTGAGCACCAAGATGCCAGTCATGTTTGACCGAAAGGAGTCAGTGGCCCACCAGGACTGGGTCAGCCTGCGCTGGTTTGTCACCATCCAGCCAGCGGTGCCAGAGCAGTTTGAGCTGCGCTTCAAGCTGCTGGAGCCACGGACGCAGCAGGAATGCACGCAGTGTGGCATCATCCCTGTGGCCACCTGCACCTTCGATATCCACAACCTGCTGCCCAACCGCACCTACAAGTTCACTGTCAAGAGGGCAGAGAGCTACACACTGGTGTATGAACCATGGCGGGACAGCCTTACCCTGCAGACCACTCCAGGGCCCCCGGGAGGGCCTGCCCCCAGTCGGCTGGGCAAGCCCAGCTTGCCCCTGACCGCACCTTCTGAGAGATGATTTTCTAATATTTATCCACTAATAAAGAGGAGTATACACAGAGAATTAAACAAGCCGGCTGAGGTTTTAAGGCAGCAGCAGCCATGAGTGTTTTCCTGATGGTCCAGTACCCCACAAGCCCCAGGACCCCCTTAGTCCTGCTGTCTTTCCAGGGGAGCCCCAGTCTGGACCTCCAGGACAGATGGCCACTGGAGCAAGAAGTGCCAGCCCCTGGCACCTGGCTGCCATCCCCACCACCACACCAGTCTCTGCTTTCTCACCTGCCTGGCAGGCTGGGGCTGCGTGAGAGGGTGACACCCTGGGGTCCTGTCTGGACACCACGGGGGCAGTCATAGCCCCCACGCTAGTATTGCAGCTTCCTTGGAGCCAGGGTGCCTGAGACCAAGAGGACATTTTATTTTATTTATTTATTTTCTGTGGTGCTGGGGATTGAACCCAGGGCCTTGTGCATTCGAGGCAAGCACTCTGCCAACAGAGCTACATCCCCAGCCCACATTTTATTTTTAAAATAAAAGATAAACGTCTTATATTCTCCCCAAGAAAAGCTGAAGTTCGTCGGTACCCCCATCCCGAAGTGGGTGAGGGTCCTGGCAAGGGAGCCTGACCAGGAGCCTCCCCAAGATGCTAGCCAGTACCATAGCTCCTATGGGGTGGCCATTCCTCTGCCCACCAACCCTCCTTGCCAGCTGCTGGTGGTCTCTCCCTATGCAGGTGACCAGACCCCTATGTTACCCGAGGAACCTCGAGAGTCCATGTTCTCCAGCCTGGTCGTGTGACCCTGGTGCAGCCAGAAGATGGTCTCAAACACAGCCCACTTGACTCAGGAGACGTGGATGCAGGCCTGGTCACCTCCAGGGCCACAGGGTGCACCTTGCACCCAGGCGAGGCGGGGGCGGACTGCAGGGACCAGAGCCACACGAGCACACACATGTCCAGTTTCCCACCCACCATGCACATCAGTGCTCTCAGGTCTGGCAGGGGCTAGAATGGTAAAGGACAGGGACCCCTTTTTCCATTGGCAAAGGGATGGTTTGCTGCAAAGGATGGGCAGCTCCCAGTGGGGTCAGAAAGGCCTCAGCAGCCCAGCTCCCTTCCCAGGGCTCTCCAGCTGCAGGCCCACCCATGGTTCCTGTGAGCCCTCCATGCCTGTCACTCTGGCATCATGTGGCTTTGGGGACTTGCCTCTGGCCTTCCTACGGGATAGGCCATCCCAGATGTCCAGGGTCAGCATGCCACTGCTCCTGTGCTGCTTGTGGAGTGAGGACTGGGGTTTGTACTGTGTCGCACCCAACCCACTGGAGAGGGGAGGCCTGGGTAGGGGCTGGCCAAGGGAAGTGTCTTTGGGTCCAGTACTCTGGCATGCCCACTGGAGGGCTGCCCGGGTCCTGGCATCTCTGGCCCCTCTGCCCTGGGCCTCCACTCTGGCCCAGCCTCATGCCTCCAGCAGGCCCAGAGGCAGCAGCTCAGAGCAGAGCCACCCTGAGTAGGTCCTGCCCCTGGGTGCACCCGCCTGGGCTGCTCCCTCCCGCAGACTCACTCCATGGGGCTTCCCACCTTTGTATCTGGCAGGAGCCGAGCGCCTATCTCACCCCAACATGGTCTCCTTAAACCCTTGTTGCTGGCAGTGGTCCAGTCCTGGCTTCCCCCTGGTCTTCAAGACCCCTTCCCCCAGAAGCCCAACTCATGGCTGGTGAGGTCCAATTGCCTCTGCCTGGGGGCACCTACCAATCTCAGGAGATACCCCAAAACTCTGCAATAGTTTTTTTGTTGTTGTTGTTGTCGTATTAGGGATTGAACCCAGGGGCACTTAACCACTGAGCCACATTCCCAGCCTTTCTTATTTTATTTATTTATTTTTGAAACAGAGTTGCTAAGTTGCTGAAGGCCTCACTAAATTACTGAGACTTGCCTCAAACTTGTGATCCTCTTGCCTCAGCCTCCCCGGTTGCTGGGAGTACAGGCCTAGGCACTGTGCCCGGCTTCTGCAATTCTTTTACAGCTGCCCTAGAAGTGTTCTCTATGCAGCACCTCCCACGGCACCTCCCTCCAGGGGACCTATTTTCCCTCCAGCTTCTCTCTGCCACATCCCACCCATCTGATCTCTCTGCTGGCAAGGGAGAGCAGTACAGAGGGTGCAGGGGAGGCCAGGGAGAGCCAGCCACAAACAAGCAGGATGCTGTCACAGCCCAGGTCTGCTTGGGGGTGCCCATGGCCTGAGGAGCAACTTCAGACAAGGCAGGGTGCTATGCAGACCACAGCTGCAGGGACCTGGCCCCTGGCCTCATGGACTACTTTGGGTCAGCCCAGTCTGGGGACCGAGCATGAGGCTGGCCATGCAGCTCTGGACAAGGCTCCCCATCCTTGCCAACTTGGTCCCCCTCCTCCACTGTCCCTGCACAGATGACCTCAGGCAGTACAGCTGGTGCCCTTGGTCATAAAGCTGGGTGCTGCCATCCTCTCCACTTGCTCCCAGGTCCAGCATCTGTCCACTGAGAACCCCTGGTGACCTCCACAGCCACCTCCTAAGGAAGATGAAGGACAACACTTTTTGCCCCTGCCCAACCTCAAAGCACCCAGAAGTGAGAGCAGCTTTCTGAGGGGTCTTTATAACACCATTAATATTTAATCATGAGGGGCTGGGGCTGGGCTCAGTGGCAAAGCACTTGCCTGGCACGTGTGAGGCCCTGGGTTCAATTCTCAGCACCATATATAAATGAATAAAATAAAGTTCCATCAACAACAAAAAATATATTTAAAAAATTTAATCATGAGGTGGAATCTGAGAAAAGGTTGAAAATTGCAATATAGAAACTTGGTATGTAAAAAACATCAGTAGACAGGCACTCCTCCCACAGAAGGCTCTGCAGAGGCCAGGGGAGGTCTCTTGGACCTCCTTGGACTGCTGACTTGCTGGCGGCACCTCAAGACTCAGGAGAAGGGGTGAACAAAGGAGAGCTGCTTCCACGTGGGTGGGGGGGGGGGGCAAGCTCAAGCAGGGAGACTGCACCCACTCAACCCTGCAGAGAAAGGGGCTCCCAGGCAGGTTGTCCTGAGGGCTCTGGGCCTGGACAAGTGTGGCTGGGGTGGAGGCAGCCCAGAGTGTCTGGGGCACCTTGCTCTTGGCCCTTGGCCCACCCACCCGCAGGAGTGTTGTATGCCGTCTGGCTTGACTGCCCTCCCCCAACAGGCAGATGTCTCTATAGGACAAGTGGCAGTGAGGGCAGAGAAATGGCCCCTCTCCAAGGGAGGTCCTGGCCCTGCCTGTGGTCCCAGTAGAAGACGCTGGCTTTGGTGTATTTAAAACGAGAAAAGAAGGCAAATGCCATGCCAGGGTGATCCCAGAGGGTCTGAAGGTCAAAATGCAGCCTCAAAGAGGTCTCCTTCCTACCTGAGGCCTCCCGGTGACAGGGGTGTCTCCTGCCAATATGGCCTCAGTGGTCGGCTGCCGAGAGGCTGTCCTATCACCCAAAGTCCCATCCCGGGAGAGCAGCACAGCAGAGAGAGAGAGGGGCTCACTCCAGTCCCTCTTCTCCTTCCAAGTTCAGGCACAAACAGGAAGATCACCCCCAGGAAGAGGTCAACACCAGCTGCTGCCAGCCACCTGGGCCTTCCCAGCAGCCACGGTGGCAAGTTGACACGGCCACCTGCCCTGGGCCCCAGTCCACTGTAGGACGAGGGCCATGCTCTCCACCAGCATATCCTGAGCTAGGCAGAGAGGGACTCTTTAGGAAGACATTGCTGGCCTCCTTCGGACCTGCACCTGGCTAGCAGGCACGAGGCTCTGCTGGGCTGCACAGAAGTCCAGGAGACGGCGCCAGAGAGGGCAGCAGGACAGCAGGATGTGGTCTCCTGAGGGGAGAGGAAAGCAGCTCCAGCCCATCTGAGTGCCCACAGGGAGCAGCCCCAGTCCTCTCCTGGGCCCCCACACCCTCACCAATCAGGCAGAGCCCCTCCTGGGCCCGGGTGATGGCCACGTTAACTTGGTTGGGGTCCACCACGAAGCCCAGGAACTTTTTGAGCCAGCTCTTGGTCGGTCGCTGGTCCACATCACTCCTGGGGCACGTGCGGACGGTGCTCACCAGCACATAGCGCCACTCACTCCCTGGGGTGAGAGGTGAGCTTGCAGGTGCTCCCCATACCCATTGCACTCTGACCCCCAGGTGTGGGTTCCCCCAAATCCAACCTCACCCTGGCTCTTGGTGATGGAGGACACAGTTACTCCAGTGACACCCTCCCTCTCAAGGCCCTTGCTGATGGCTACAGCCTGTGCATTGTAAGGTGTGAGGATAGCAATATCCTGGGGGTCTACTGTCCGGTCCAGGGTCAGCTGCTTGGTGATCCGAACCTGAGCGGACAAAGTGGCAGGTGGAGCTGGACCATGGTGCCATCTGGGCCCAGGGCACATGAGCTTCCCTCAAGTTCCCTTGGCCCCTCTTCCTCCTAGAAGGCCTCTCTGACACTTCCTCCTCCTTCCCCTCATCCAGTGAGCCCTTCTTAACCCCAACTCCTCCTCTAGGAAGTCTTCCCTCATTCCTCTTCCTCCTCCTCCTCCTCCTCCTCCTCCTCCTCCTCCTCCTCCAGGAAGACACCCCAGTCCTGACCCATGGGGGCACCAGGGAGGGTCTCTCTCATGCTTACCACCTCTGCCACCTCTTCCAGGTTGGCCTTGGAGTTCTCATTTCCTTCATCTGTGGACACCAGCAGGCTCTGCTCCTGGCCCTGCACATAGCCAAAAATGATAGAGCAGCTCTCCTTGCCAGCATAGCCCAGAATGCTGGCTGGTCGCCTCAGGCCCTGCCAGGCCCTCAGTTTCCTCCCATAGAACTCCATGGAGGGGAAGGTGCAGATGGCCTGGTGCATGCGGTACTGTGTGTCCAGGAGGAAGGCGTCCCTGTGGTACCGCTCAAAGAGAGACCGATCCATCCCCAGGTTTTGCAGTTGCTTGTCCTTGACCACAGGCCGTAGCTGCTTGTGGTCCCCGAGCAGGACCACCTGGAGGCACAAGGGGCATGGTCCTGACCTGGCCCAGAGGTA